GACAGCATAAAGACCTAGCTAAAGTACTTACGGAACAAGATAATTTCATAGAAAATGCCACATCAGGCATAGACAGGAAAACACGATTCCTTTTTATAAGGGAAATAAAGTAAAGCTTCTACTACTGGTGACGGTCATCCCTCTGGTGAACTCTTAGTTCAACCAATTGACGTTCCATGTCAAGTAGGTGTCTTTCGACACCATCTGGCGTACCTGGAGCTCTATGACTTCGGCTCGTGATTCGGCCAGTGCTTGCAGCAGGGTTTCATGGTTTCTCTCTGATCTCTCGTGTGCATCTTCTAGATGAATGGTGTGGAGGGTATGCATTCTCGCATCGGTGACAACTTCGGTAGTATGATGTAAGGCTGTCCTGCCTTGAATCTCATTTCGGGCCTCTCTGCGGACCAAGATTGGCAAGACTCTATCTGCTGAGCCCCCATTGCTCAAGTAGTCAAAGCTTCGATCGCCAATAAATGGCTTAGACTGAGCTTGTCCTTGGCTCCATGTTTCCAAGCATTCCACTCACTCAGGGTCGGGCCACGAAAAAGCCGGACGAGGGTTAGGAATTGGAAAGGGAGCTGCTCGGGGTAGGTTTTTAACCTCTGGTTCGGAGTTAGCATCATACGAAAGGTCTTCATCATGGTGATCATTCAAGGGGAAAAGGATGATCATTCTATGGTTATTCTCTAAACCAACCAGCTATGACTTCATTCGGAAGGTACTGGTTGCCGAGGGGATGGAGTCCAGTTATGTTTTTTATGCGAGAATTTAGGGTAAGAGAATAATTATTAGACGAACTATCTAGATAATTATTTAGAAAACCTTCATTAGTTACATTGCTATTTGTGAAGTGCATACTAGCTATGTGTAATCTAAACAGGATAGACCTTCAAATAAGTGACCTTAATTCCAAATTCACACAGAATAGGGGTAAGGCAAAATTATCACAGATTCTAAGTCTATAACATCCTAATTACATATAGCCTTAGTGTATCCACTTAGCAACTATCAACTTAGTAATGAAGATCCCGTTTTAAATTCTCAAGTATAAAGTACTTCTAGTAACACCAAATACTCCTATAGTATTTTAAATTTTAATGTTATGTTCTATTGTTCTCATTGTGGTAGGGTTGGTAAGATTTTAGCATTGTTGCAACCACACACTTAAACTTAGGCACATGCTAGTCAAACCTCGGATAATATAGGTGATCAGGCTATATCTTCCTAGTTTTGACCATATGTCTCTAAGCCCACTTGTGTTACCCAACAATCGTAATTCTTTTGTACTGTCCTAGTGACACTGATTTTAGTATGAATGCAGCACGTATCCCTACTTAAATATTTTACTATTTAAAGTATAAACTCTTGGTCAGAGTATTTTTAATCCCTTATGTATTTATAGTTAGTATATCTTTTATGGGTTGATATACTTAATTCACTATAAACAATGCTCTGATACCAATCTGTCACACCCCAAAACCAGGTACGGCGGAAACGTTCTGGGGCGGAGGACGTCATGTATAATATCAACAACAATGTAAAGTAGTAAACAAGCAACAACATCATCCATTGCATTAATAATATAATTATTATACAAATGTGTTCTATCAAATTTTGATAATAACTAAAGCGTAAATCAAAATGAAAGATAAGTCTTGAACAAGCTCCATCTTCCTTTCTCCTTGCATCGGTACCTATCTATGATGACCTGAGGATACAAGTAATTTGAAAGCGAGTATCAGCTTTGAAGTTGGTGAGATCATAAGTATTAATGTGTCTTAATTTGTAAAACTTATAATTTTTTTTAAGACTTGACATTGTTTTGAAAGAAAGCTCGTATAAGTATGAAAATGTTGTAGATCAACTGTAAATGTTTGAAAAACCCTAGAATCCCTATGATTCCTATTAGTAACAAAAGGAGTCTTCTACCAAGACCTAACTGTTCTGAATGTAGTCTTCTACCAAGACCTAACTGTGTTACTATTATTATCATTATCAAAAATTGTATCCTTTGGTACTAGGATACGTAAATATAATTCACCTCATTGGTTAAGTGAATGAGTCACAAGATAAAGGTAATAATACAACTAACCTAAATATTACCCTTTGGTACTAGGGTAACTAACATTGTTAACTTTAAGACATCTGTAGACGTACTCTTACCTCTGTTGCTAACAGCTGGGTATAGGAATAGTTAATCCCTTCATCGTATACCTGTAATGGTACCAACCGTTGACATCCGTGGATGTACTTTTACCTCTGTAGCTAACAGAGATTTTAGGAATGGTCAATCCCACAACTGTATCCTTGGGTACTAGGATATTATATCCATTCTATCTCATCGATTATGTGATTGTATCACAAGGTAAAGGTAAGAATGCGGATTTCATAACAATATCTATACATATAAAATGTAACGATAACTCGTCATATATTATCTACGTAAGCGTGATCATGTAAAGGTAATCATGTAAATGTACTTATGTAAGTGTACTCATGTAAGTGTAATCATGTAAAAGTAATCATGTATGTGTACTTATGTAAGTGTACTCGTGTAAGTTTAATCATGTAATAGTAATCATGTATATGTACTTATATAAATGTACTCTTGTAATTGTACTAGCTGTAACATGTGTTCTCTCTCTACCTAGCAAGTATTGACTCATGAATGAACTGACTCATTATATGATATCGTGTTCTAGTAATGGTTCTAGTATCTTTCTAAACTACCCATATGGTAGCTTACTAGTAATCTATCTGGTAAGTATGGACATGGATGTATACCCTTGGTACCCAAGGGCATATGTTGAACTGGAAGGACCTTTTATGACTATATATGTACACATGATATATAACTAATATTTAAACGACTGTCGGACGGTTACCCGATATCCCACCAGACCACATCTCAAGGCGCGAAAAGGAAATAGGGTGGATAGTCTTCCTAAGTCTTTTAAACATTTCTTATATAACTATACATATAGAGGCATGCAATTTATAAGAAGCATAACAAAGTTTAAATAAAAGTATTTAGTAAGAAAAGAGTTTGTAAAACAATTTGCAGGCATAAGTTTAATAAAACAGTTTAAGTATAAGGAAACATTTGTTTGAAACACAGTTGTAAATAAGTTTAAAAGGTAATGTACGGAGTAAGATGTACAGTGTAATAAGGAGTTTAAAACATATAAAATGTTTATAAAAATCATTTGAAGGAAACTGTTTGGTAAAACGGCTAATGAGTAGCCAAATCATTTGAATGTTGTATGTTAATCACATGTGGTTAACGTAATAAGTATATAATTCTACTTACTAATCACTTGTGATTGACATAATAAGAAGCATGATTCTACTTGTATCCCCCCCCCCCATAAAACATTTAAAAATAGTTTAAAACATTAGTTAAGGGGTATGAACTCACCTGCAGTAAGTGACTGGAATTGAACGGGCTGTTATCGTACGGAAGGATCGGACAAGTGCTTGGTGTCAAGTGGAGACTTAGACACACACAATGATCCTAATTACATATGAAGATATATGTATATAAATAATTAGAGAATTAATCACTAATTATACAAGTATAAACATTTAACGCGAGGACAACACTTTTGGCCAAGTGCTAGGAGGCTAATGGGTTGCAACAAAGGAGTGCAATGCCCCTAATGGAAGTTTAAGGTCAAGAGACCATATTCATTGGATTTTACGGCCCAGGGGAGTAAGCTCCTGGCCGTAAACTCCCAACCAAGGCTTGAAATGGTGCTTACAATTACTACAACTCTAGGGGGAATTTATTCAAGGCTTACACAAGTGTTTGGGCACCATATTGACTCCTTTGGGGAGTTTACGGCCCAAAGACTCTTTTCCCTTGGAGTTTACGTCCGTAAACTCCCTTGGGAGGGTGATTATGGTGCTTTCAAGTCTCTATAATAATTGGGAACAAATCTAGGCTTTTGTACTTGGCTTTGGAAGAGTTTATGGCACCATTTGGTACCATTTCTTGGAGTTTACGGCCATAGAACCTTTTGGGCCGTAAACTCCCTCACACATGGGGTTCTAAATGTTTTAGCTAGTCCATAAATCATCAAGGTACATGCCCAAATTGTCTCATGGCCTAAGGAAGTGTTTAGGGTGTCCTTTGACCCCTTTATGGGAGTTTACAGCCCAAGAACCACTCTTGGCCGTAAACTCCTCAATACTTGTGCTTTTCTTATGTTTCCTAGGTCCTAAACACATTAAGGTATTTGCCAAAAATAGTGTCCAAGCCTTTGGGGGTGATTAGGGTACTTTTAGCCCTTGAAAAAGGGGTTTATGGCCCAAGAGCATATCCTTGGCTGTAAACTCCTAAAACTATATGGTTTTGATTGATTTCTAGCCTCTAATGTTCATAAATAAAGTCCTTAACTAGTTGCCTAACAAGGAATTGGGACTAGATGGACTTTAGGCCTTGTTTTGGAGTTTACACCCCAAGAATGTTCTTAGGCCGTAAGCTCCCGGATCTTGTGTTTTGGACATGTAAATAATGTTATTAAGCATATAACAAGTATTAAAACACATCTAGGGAAGTAGACTCACAATCTGGGATGAAAACCCGAAGATCCGTGAGAGAGAAATTGGCTTTTCTCTAAATGGAATTCAACTAATGAACCAATTTGGTTCAGAATTCTATTTTATAGTCCTGAGATTTTTGGTAGAAAATATTTCTATTCTCGGAATGGATTCTAATGATCTAGGGTAATGGAATTACAGTGTTGCACAAAATCCTAGTGCAACCACTCTCCTAATATCTCTTTAGGTGTAAAACCCTAAAACTGCCAAACTTATATTCAAAGTCTGAATTTTCACTGTAACTGCTCTACTTCTATTGGATTGAAATGGTTTGATTAGAATGGAAATTTTGGGTTATCACAATAGTGATCAAGATGTCAACCACTTAAGGTCCTACGTTGCTTCACACAAGCTTATAGATGTGTATACAAAATTTTGGCGTACCAACTTGCATACATATGCTATGTCTCCTAACCCTTCAAAACTCAGGATTGAAGAGATTGTTGAACCCTCTTCTTGTTCTAGAAGGTTGTGTCTTGAATGGATCGACACAACCACAGTTGAACCCCCCTGTTTTAGAACCAAGAATGCAAACCCCTACAATGGAACCTAACATGGAATCCCCTAGTCATATTGATGTTGCACATATTTCACCCCCTAGAATGGAATCCCCTATTGAAGTTGAATCTGGGAGAGAACCAAATATGGAACCCCCTATTATGGAAACCTTTAGTGAAGCCCTAGGTGGCTCTAGTGATAGTGAGGGTAGTGGAGATTCAACTGATAGTGAGGATAGTGATTTCATTATGGATGAGGATAACTTGTTGGATGATCCTGAGGTGGACATGCATGATTTCTACCTTAACATTGATGATAATTTGGAGTGGGTTGGTGATGCCCCCTATTACAACAGAGAATGTAGCAATGTCTAATGAGGAGATGGAGGTGATCAACACTGATGTTCTGCAATCTGAGTCATCATCTGATGAAGGGAAAATGAGTACAAGAAGAAATAAAATTCGGGCTGCAGAAAAGGCACACATAAATGATGCAGCTCAAGTGAGTGACCCTTTCTATATACTTCAAAGATTCTCAAGTTCTCAAGAAGCAAAAGACAGAATTTACTTACATGCGATAGAGACAAGAAGAGAATTGGATATGGTCAAGAATGATAAAAACAGGGTTAGGGTAGTATGTAAAGGAACAATACCAAATATGGGGATACTTGAGACTTCTGGGAAAGGTGGGCCAAGTCAAAGGAACATAAATGGTGGAACCAGTCAAACAGGTAAAAAAGGAGGACCAAGTAAAAAAGAAAAGTGCAGTGGAAGTAGGTGAAAGCAGTAAGTGCCCTTGGAAACTTTTAATAAGTAAATGGAAAAAGGATGATGACTGGACTGTGAAAACGTATGAAAAGGAGCATAAATGTCTACAAACAAGAAAAATCAAAGCTTGTAATTACAAGTTTCTTTCCAAACAAATTCTTGAGTAGTTAGAGTCTAACCCATAAATACCAATTAGGGCTTTAAAGGAGCAGCTAGAGAGAAAATACCAAATTCAGATGTCGGACATGAAAGTGTTTAGGGCAAAAGCAAAATCCCTAAAAACTATTAGGGGTGATTTTGGGACTATCTACTGGAGGTTCAAAGTCGAAACCCAAACACAACAGTCAAGCTTCAAGTGGATAATTCTTCCAACCTTGCATCAGATACTAGAATTTTTAGATGTATATACATATGTCTTGGGCCACTGAAACAAGGATTTGCAGTAGGGAAAAGAGACTTTCTTGGACTGGATGGTGCATTCATGAAGGGTCCCTACCTTGGTATGATTCTAACTGTAGTGGTATGTAATTTTATACATGGATTAACTACTTAATCTTACTTATGACTTATAGATGTTAACCTAATTTGTTCTTACTATTATAGGGATTAGATGGAAACAACTGCACTTACCCAGTGGCTTATGGTCTTGTAGAGTCTGAGAACTACAGTTCATGGACATGGTTTCTAAAAGTTTTTGGTGATGAGTTGGATTTGACTACGAATTCAAACTTAACATTTATAACTGATAGGCAGAAGGTAATATTATACACAGTTTAACTACTTCCCCTTTATATTATATGTAATAATTATATAAAATTAACTGTGTTTATGTTGTAGGGTGTGTTGCCTGCAATTGCAAAATTGTTTCTATGTGCAGAAAATAGATTTTGCCTTTGTCATATCCATGAGAATATGAAGCGGAAGTGGAGGGGCAAGGAGTTTAAAGATTGTCTTTGGAAATGTGCAACAACAACAACTGTTCAGCAATTCAATCTTGCAATGGAGGAACTGAAGAAATTGAACAATGATGCATATGAATGGCTTAAAGCCATTCCAGCCCAACATTGGTCCAAGTCTCACTTCACAGGTTAGTTATACATGTTTGAATTCTTCAACATTGTTGATTGTATTCATCTTAAAAGATTACTAAAAATTATGATGCAACATTGTTATTCTATAGGAAGAGCACATTGTGATGCATTGTTAAACAACCTTTATGAGACATTGAATAACAAACTTGTTAAGGGTCGTGCCAAACCAATTAAAAGTTCCTTGGAGTTTATTAGAGAGTACATAATGAAGAAGATTGTTATTGTGCAAAAGACAATTGACAAATGTTCTGGCCCACTAACTCCTATAGCTACCAAGACTCTAGAGAAGATCAAAGGTGAAGATGCAAAGTATAGGGCTGTGTTTTGTGGAAATGGGAAGTATCAGGTCATAGGTGGTGAAGGTGTGGACAAATGTGTAGTTGACATAACACAACGTACATGCTCATGTAACAAATGGGAGGTCACTGGCATACCATGCAAGCACACAATTGCAACTATATGGGATATGATGAGAAATAATGAGAATGTTGGGATACCTGAAACATGGGTTCACCCAACATACTGGTTGAAGACATGGCAAGAGATGTATTCCTTTAAGATTGAACCAATTAATGGGAGGATGATGTGGGCAAAAAGTACTTGTCCAACAAAGTTACTACCCCCAAAATATCATGTGCCTATTGGTAGGCCAAAAAAGAAAAGAAGAAGATCTGCTACTGAAGATGATAGTGCTACCGGGACCAGAACAGTTAGATATGCAAAGTGTGGAAATGTTGGGCATAATGGAAGGAGTTGCAAGGGGCAGACAGTGGGAGGATCACAGGCCAGTGGTAGTGATGTGGGACAGAATGTTGGTGGTAGTGATGTGGGACAGAATACTTGTGTGAGACAGAACTCAGGTGCTGTGAACAAGGGGAAAAGTCCGATGGTTTAGTGTTTGTGTATTACTTTCTTGTCTTTTGAATGCTAATGCTTTTGATGTACTTGAAACAATGTTATTTCATGTATTTTGGGTCTGTAATTTCAGTTTGAACTAATGTTGTGCTACTTCTTTAACTATGATAGTTGTAATGGTTTGATGACTTAATGGTTGTAATGGTTTGAATGACTTAATAATTAACTAGGTTGTTAATGTATGGATGCATGTTTGTAATGGTTTGATGACTTAATGATTAATTAGGTTGTTAATGTATGGATGCATGTTTGTAATGGTTTGATGACTTAATGATATAACATAAATTGTTGTTTTGGTAAGAATACTTTGGTCTGAATACATGTTTGGCAGTTACCAACTTTGGTCTGAATACATGCAAACTGATACACCCAACTTTGGTCTGAATACATGTTTGGCAATTAACAAAAAACACTCAATTTTCATTAACATTTAAACTGATACATCCAAAAAAACACCCAATTTTCATTAACATTTAAACTGATACATCCAACTTTGGTCTAAGAACTTATCCTATACTTTGTACACTAGAACAGACACAAACAGAAACCAACTAATAGCTAGATACAACTTCAGTTTTAGATTTTGTTGTTCAAGCTTCATCCTTATGTTCATACAAGCACATTTCTGATCCTCCACCACCCAACCAATGAACTTGCAACCACGAGCCTGTAAAATACTATGTTGAAAAATTTAGAAATGCTAAAATTTACAGAAAATAGGAGATTAGGTTAAATTTATCAAGAAATCGAAATTAACCGGGTTAGAACAATCATAGTAACGTTTTCCAGGGTTGTTCTTGCTCCATGAGGTACGAATCACAGCTTCAGCTCCACAATTGCATCTAATTGCCATTTTTGTTGGTTGGAGAAGGGAAATTGAAGAACGAAAGGGGGAAGAAGTAATGGGGAAGAAGGGTGACGAAGATAAATGAAAGCAGGGGAGGGGCAACGACTCTAATAGGAGCACAAGACATGAAATGACAAAAATACCCCTGCGTGCAGGGCACGTGGGGCACCCAAATGGAGAAATCTAACGTTTAACGACAATAGGGACTAGGCGGGTGGTATTCAAATGCCTGAGGGACGGTCCGAGTTAATTTTCAAAAATAAGGACTGAACGTGCAATTTGACACTTGTCCGAGGAACGATTCATGTAATTTACTATATATATATATATATATATATATATATATATATATATATATATATATATATATATATATATATATATATATATATATATATATATATATATATATATATATATATATATAAGGATGTTAGAAGAGACCATCATACTTCTTGTAAAGTATAAAAATTTAATTCCAGTAGCATTTAATTTACTTAAACGCACCTTTGGTTTGTATTTTGTTTTTGTTTCATTTATAGTTTTTTTTTTTTTTTTTTTTTGAACTGACAAATAATATATATAAATAACAGATATCTAGCAAGTAACTAGAAGCTAGTAACTAGAAGCTACAGAATGAGTACAAATAGAAGCATTAAAACTGACAGATTATAAACAAGAAAATGTACACCAATCATACCACACCATAATAGTGTTTTCTAGCTTTGCATTGGCTTTTTAATTAATATGAATCTTACCGTTTCAATATATATATATATATATATATATATATATATATATATATATATATATATATATATATATATATATATATATATATATATATATATATATAAAAGAATAACATACATTTTTTTAGAAACAAATATTTCATTAATGAAAAAACAAAAGCTTAAGCAAGACGTTAGAGACAAAGTACATGAAAAACAAGATAAAGGAGAACTACACAACATATGCCAATTAAGAACATTAAATTTAAACATATTCTTAATCCGATTAATGTTAACATACTAATATCATCCGCAATCGACATCGTAGCTCACTTCTCATTAAATTGTTAATCCATTTCTTTACTAATTCTATTAAAAGGTGTTTGGAATTTGTAACCAAATCGATTACGACCCAAATAATAATAACCAACATGTAATCGACATGATGGTGTGTGGCCTTGCATTGAATGATAGACAACGATTGTAGCACCAAGTATGACCTGCCACATACAAAGTTATTTATGCGACTGAAGTAAAATTCAAATTAGTTTACTTTTTAATTGAAGAGAAACACGTGGACACTAATTCTCGTTGATGTTGAGATAATAAATGCATTTAAATTTAGGTATAGCAAATTATTACGATCGTTAACTTCATTTCCAACCGTTCAAGTCAATAATATTTAAATTTAAATAATTTAATAAAACAAAACGGGTCAAACATGTCAAAATTGTCCAAGATAGCGAAATTGTGGCCGTTATTTTATCTTTTTGATTTCAAATTAGGATTGCGAATTAATATTTCAAAATTTTGCAAGTAAAATAAATTAAAGTTTCATTATTTTTCGCACAAACTCAAACTAAAATACAAAATTTCTTTCTAGATTTTCCGTTTTCGGCTTCAGAAAACCACAGTATCATCTAAGAAAGCCGACGTCGACAAAGATATAGAAATTGCAAGCATTTCCAATACAAATAAAATGTGATTATAGTTGCGAAGACCATGAATATCATTATAAATTTCTTAACCCGTTCTTTGATATTGACTGATGTTTTTTTTAATGCTGAATAGAATATATTAAAAAAAAAAAAAAACACTAGCATGGAGGCGGTGAGACAAAACAATTATCGTGAGACAAAATATTTGAGGGAAAATAATTTAAAAGACAACCTCAAGTTATTAAAATGTTCAAAAAATATCATTTGTTAGTGTAAAAAATATCAATAATGTATATTTTTTTACATAGAATATCACCGAAGTAAACATATTTTTAAATAAAACATTGTGGTAACTAGTTATCTCAGGTAAACGGAAAAATGACTTAAAAAATTAATGAAGAATTCAAGATATTTAAAAAATATAATTATTTTTTTTAGTACAAAAAATATCACTGAAGTATACCATTTATACACAGAATACCAACGAAGTATACAAATTTAGTACAAAAACAACCATTGTAGTTTCTAGAATGTTTCTAAAAAAACATCATTGTTGTTTTTTCGGAGCATTTTTTGTTAACTTCGTTGTTGTCGGATTATGTAGAACACAGTCACCAGAGATCATGAACCGTCATATCAGTTCACAACAGTTGTATACTCTCTTTCATTCAGTCACTCGATCATTCTTGTGGTAACATAAGAAGTAAATGAGTAATAACCTTAGTTAAACGTTCTTGCTTCCAGATAATATTATATGCCTCAAACCTAAAACATATATACATTATATAGATACACATATTATACATTAGGGTTAACCGTTCATTAGTGTTGGAGCACACGAGAGACATAAAAAATCTAGACAGAGAAATAGTTGCATATTTTCTGGCACTACAAAGGTTGCCGGAGGATGATGCTTCACATGATCGGTTAAAGAGAGAAACAGGTGTTATGTTATGTCATGCGGATTCCTAAATGTGGATGTAGAGGGTAAGAGTTATGTTTAATTCTCTGGGACCAGTTAATGATGAATAGTCACACTCTCAGCGTTATGTGGATGAGTTGATGACGATTTGTAGTTAAAGTAAAAAGGAGAACCATATGTGTTGGAGCGCTTAAATGACTTACATCCTAATTGATGGATACTTAGTGACGTGTTTTTCTGTGATTATATTTAGATACAAACCGATCGAGTGAGGGAATGTGTAACACCCTATTTATTTAATAAATAAAATTTATTAAAGACTAGTAGCTTTAAAATCCATAATAATCAGTGAGATGTGGTTTTGGGAGCTAAATGTTATTATTTTAAAAGTCGGGGATTAAAAGTGTAAGTTCTAGACCCCATTTGTAAATAATTATGAAAGCAAGGGCTATTGGGTAATTGTTGGGACTTCTTTTGAAAGAGATTTTGGGGCTAAGGGGCTGTTTGGTAAATATTGGGCTTGAATTGTAATGGATTTATAATGTTGGGGATTCAAAGGGTAAATACTGGATTATAGTTTGAAAGAAAAGGGAAAAGAAGGGCTGAAATTGCCATTATGGAAACAAGTTTGGGGGATCGGGGTATATAAACCTGTCACCCCCAGTTTTAACCCTAACCATAATGAAGTGTCCCCCCCCCCCCCCCTTGAAGGGTCTAATCAATGGTTTGGTCTAGGCTTTCACTCTAATAGGGTCTTTTGGTTTATTATGCAGTTTTGGTAGTATATATACTAGTTTATGGCCCAGACCAGAGTTTACGGCCGTAAGCTTGTTTATGGCCGTAAACCCAAAGGCCGGCCCAGATCCAGGTCTGTTATAAATAGGGGTTTGCTAGGTTGTTTATTGGTTGTTGATGCCTCAGAGTTTCGTGTGCTATTCCACAAGTTGTACTAAGACGTTTTTGCCAATAGAAGTGTGTGCAAGCTTGTCGATATTCTGTTTTCTACTTTGTTCTTAATTGTTATTGATTGTGTTTGCTGTTTGATCACCGGTAAGATCCGTTTTCAGGACCTTACAATTGGTATCAGAGCAAAATCGGCGTCAAAGCTTTATACAATCGAATTTTTGACTGTGTTCCTCATTGTTTACGACTGAAGTTGGTGTTTGCTCCAAAGGGTTTCAAGCTCAATTCGAAAACTAGGTTTTCCTCAATTTTCTGGGAGATTACGGCCATAACTTACGGTCGTAAAAACAGATTACGGCCGCAATCTAAATTATGTTCTTGAACCGTAAACCTGGTTCTTAGGCCGCGAATAGGGATTTTTCAACAACCAAAAACTTGGATTCTTGGACTGTAAACCTAAACCGCAAATACTTTACGACCGTAAACTCCGGACCGTGAACAGAGTTTATGGCCGTAAACTAGCCTTTGACCGTAAACTTTTGTTTGATCTGAAACTTATTTTTTTTATAGACAAAAATGCACAAATGGTCCCTGTGGTTAGCTGAAAATTGTCACTTTGGTCCAAAAAAGTTTGGACTA